CCAATAATACACTGCTAGAGTAGTCAGTGGCAGCATAGAGATAGATCGGGAAAATCATTCTGGAAAGCAAAGTGGCAAAAGGGAGAGCATGGGATGAAAGAAACCTCCCCCTTTATAAAATTATGAAACATACACAAAGCCATGCCAGGATACAAGTTTTGGTTGTTGGGGGAGGATCACCAAGGCAGCACTGAGAGGGGAAAAAAATGGCAGATTTCCCCAAAAGTTGGGGCAGAGTGGGTTACACTCCTCTGCCAACCCTCTTCCATAGTCCCTCCTGTCCAGTGCAATGTGATTGCGAGCTGAAAGTCATTCCCATTTGTTGAAAACTCTTGCAAATCAATACTTTTCAAAAGAACCACCAAATGATTCATCTTCAAAAAGAGCAATTCTTTTGCACTTGCCTCACTTCACCTCAATTCTCCATAATTGCAACTGATCGCAGTCATGACTGAAATCATTTCCAGTGTGAACGAGGCACATATAAACTACGATCAGCAAATCAATTTAAATCATAGTGGGAACACACCCTAAATATAGGTATTTGAGTTGATTCTGCTATCTGTATGACAGAGAGCCAGGGTGGCATAGTGGTTTGAATGTTGTACTGTGATTGTGGAGACCAGGGTTCAATTTCCAGCTTGGCCATGAAACCCATTGGGTGACCTTGGGCAAGTCTCAGCCTTGGAGAAGGCAATGGCAAACCTCTGAAATCTTACAAAGAAAACCCCGTGATAGGTTCACCTTAGGAAGCATCTTAAGGCACACAACAACAGCAACAATGACAACAAGCTTTCATCATAACTAAAACAGCATCTATATAAAGTGCACATCCAATGTATATTCTTTAGCAGTACATTTTTTCTGTGTTTATTTTGTCCAGAATATAGAGAGCCATGTAAATAATTTCATGGACCATTTGGATGTCTGAGCTTGTTTCCCAAACAGCAACCTTACATGCTGTCTTGCAGCTGCTTTTGGAACTGAGGGGACTTTCAAAATCACTTTGACTGCTAGACCTCTGTACCATCTTATGAGGACAAACAGTCCCAAATCCCACTGGGCATAGCTAATATTCCTCTTTGGACTCTAAACATTGTATTCCTCAGAGGCCAATGCAGCCATATAGTAATCAATGAGAAATTGTTGTCCGGCCTAGGCAATGGATCTAGGATGCTACTAAGAAAAAAGTAGGAAAAGTTCACACAATCTACTAAATCTAAGAAGTTCTTGCTCTGCCATGCATTGCTTTTTTTGGGTATCTCTGCTTCATTTCAATTGAGTAAATTTCTCTTTAGGCTTTGAAAACTGGCTTTTGGATCCCCAATACATTTTTGGCCTTCCTTCTTGATACAGAAATTATTTTCAGTCATTTTTTCACACATACATACATACCAAAAGGAATATAATAAATATGGCAGATGTTTTTAAATTGAGGAGGGGAAATAGAATTCCAGGCAATGACTTTTTTTCTGAGATGCCAAGTCTTTCCAAATGCCCCACTAATGATCTCTACAATTATTGATTAAAGTTCTCGGATGCTGTCTCAAGCAATTAGACATTTGCATTGGGTTGCTAAGCAGGCCTCAGACAGTGCATGCTGAAAATGTAACAGATGCCCTGGATAGATATTGTGCTCTCTTAACCTCTTAGTGCCTGCTTTTTCTCTCCTTTACTGGTTAGGAATGTAAAGGTTCTCCCAATCCCATTGGTCAGTGCTTTACTAATGTGTACAGGAATTATCCAAATGAACTGCATGCAGTCTGTTCCTTTGGGGCTTATCATGTTTCAGATGATGTGTCCAGCACATTTCACCCAGAGCATTATATAGAGCAAATGTAATGAACTATATAATGCATGAGGGTGAAGAAGCTTCAGCTTGATCAATGCAAAACAGAAATGATGATGCTCACTACCATTACCCACAACACTGTATAGTAGAAGTACTGTGTACCATTTATTGCATGAGGAAGACTAAGCTTGATCAAGGCAGGACAAAGGAGATGATGATGATGATGATGATCATCATCATCATCATCATCATGATCATCATCATCATCATTGTTGTTGTCACCAGAAGAATCTTGGAAAAGTTACTTTTTTGAATTATAACTCCCCAAATTCTCTGGTTGCCATCATGGCTGGGGGACTCAAGGAATCTCCTATAAAACTAACTATTCTAAGCACAATGATAGTGATGGCAATTGTGTTGGTGGTAGATTAGATGGCTAGAGAACTATCAGTTCACGTAATACCTGTCTTGGTCCTTAGGTACTTAGGGCCTGAACAGAATGCCAGAAATAATCCAGCTTGAGACCTTTTTAACTACCTTAGCTCAGTGCTGGGGAATCATGGGAACTGTAGTTTATTATGGCATCAGAGCTCTCTGACAGAGAAGGCTCAATGTCTCAGAAAAAAACTACAGTTCCCATGATTCCCTAGTATTGAGCCACAGCAGTTAAAGTGGTCTCAAACTGGATTATTTCTGGCAGTCTGTTCAGGTCCATAGTCTAGGAAAACTTTAATGCTCAATGATGATCAAGTGAGAGCTGTGCTTTGGGCTGCTCAAAGATTTTGTTCAGTCTGCATTTTGAAGAAAAACAGCTTTCTCACATGAACTATACTTAAAATAATACCAATATGTCCATATTTCCATAAAAATCAGCATATGAGAGAATGTATATGTGAGAATGTACATTTTAAAACAAAGGGCATACAGAAGTACATACAAGTAAATATTTCAACAGTTTCTGTGCACTTTGTAAATTTAAAAATTGCAGATTATGCAGAAACATGAGGGAATGGATTTGTAAACAAACACATTGGAAAGTGAAATGAACAAAAATTAGAATGAATAATGATCAAACCCTAGCAGTGTTCCAGAGTGCCTTTGTACAGCTTCAGTTGTCTTTTCCAAATGTAGCTGCAACCTTTATGCTGCCCCAAGTTTGTGGAATGATCCCTGACCTCTTCTTCCCATATATACTTTCTCCTTCTGTTACATTTAGGAGAGATTGCAAGGTTTGTCGTTTTTCATTTGGCCTTTAGTTTGGCTGGCTTGTTGGTTTTCTTGCCACATTTTAGTTCTACCTTTTGTGCTTATTTTTCAACTGAATGTTAATTTTAAGGTTCCCCCCCCCTCCAAAATAGACACAATAATAATGTAGCAGTAATAAACAATGTAACCTCATCTTTTTCCTTTTTCTATATAGTGGATTATTATCAAATATTTCAATATGGCTATCATGTCACCCTTTAACCTTCTCTTCTCCAGTTTTAACATACCCAGCTTTCTAAACCACTCCTCATAGGGCATGGTTTCCAGACCTTTCACCATTATGGTCGCCCTTCTCTGGACATGCTTCAGTTACTATTTCAGTTCAACTTCATTTACTAATTTACTTACTCTCCTAAAATACACAAATCAATCAATAAATATGTAGTCTGATGCTACCTTCTGGACAGAGAATGGATCAACTTTTGTTTGGAAGACTGCTGCTACCAAGCAAACATTGTAACTAGTCTTCATGTTCATCACAAACTGAAGCTGGCAAGGGCTGATTTTCCCTTTCTCCATAGCCACCATGTGGTGAAGGGTTGGGTGGATCAGCCATAAATTTCCAAACTTACAGCAAACAGAAAAATGCTACAGGCTTTCTGCTCCCATGGATAACTTATGCAGAAAAACTTACAATTATTCATTTTAAAATTCGGGTGCCCACTTGCATAGTGCCTCAAAAGTAGAAATTTCTCATGAAAACAAGATGGGCAGAAAGAAAGATAAAACATGGAGATGGAAAGACAAGCTATTTTCCACTCTACAAATTCCATCTGCACATGCAGATGTACATTTGGTAATAATTGCTACAATTTTAAAAGAAATATGCCACATCTCTCCATAGTGAGGAAGAATACTGCATGGTAATTCCAAGCTTTGGTATATAGAGAAGGAGGGAATTATTATTTATGGGCAAGAATATGAAATTATTTGAAATTACTACAGGGTAGCAATTAATTGTGTAGTTCTGGCATAAGCATTTACCTTAGCTCTTCTTTTCTAAACAGAAATGCACACAAGTATCAGTAGAGTTGCAACAGCTTTACAGTTCCCAAACATTCCTCACTGAGTGAGCACATTTGGAAAGCTGTGTAGGGATTTTTCTCCTCTTCCTGCTAAATAAACTGCTAAAAGACATATATAAAGCTGTTTCAGAGATAACAAGACCTAAAGGGCCTGTAGCAGGTGTTGGGTATTACAGTACCATCTGGGCCTGTTGATTTCCAGTCAAAACAATATCCTCAGCACTTCAGTGAAGGGTGGGGGACTCTGGCAGTAACTCTCAGCCAAGAAGAAATGGAAACAAAATAAAGCTCAAACCTAAGCATTTGCTCTTTGCTTGTATTTGAACATTTTTATAATGCCTTTCAATTGTTTTTTTTTAAAAAAAAGCATTAAATGGTTGGGCAATTTGCAATCTTATCATGAGAAAGTACCAGTCATAGAACAACACTAAAACAGCAGATCAAAAGTTAGCATTGAAAAGAACCTTGAAAAATTGTTTGAGAATACTGGATATTATTTGGGTTATTTTATTTATTAAATTGTAATATTTATCACTATTAAAAGTACTATTATTTATCTTATTTATTTCTGCTAAAAATGTACTCAAGATGGTTCTTAATGCTAAAATGGAGAATTTAAAACATGATATTAATTAAAATATTGCGTACAAACCACTCAGTTAAAAACTCAATTATAGCAGCTGAGAGGGCTTGGGCAACTCAAAGCAGGGGATCGAGCCTATGTATACTAGTTCCGAAAAACAGAACTACAGAATGCAAGGTCCAAATGTAGTTTTATTTGTAAAAGGGAATCACCACTCACACAAAAGCGCACTCTCACACACACTCACAAGAACAAATGATATAAAAGATTGTAGCTAATAGCAACTTTAAGGATTGCAGATGGTAATACAGTTCCAGAAGTAAAGGTTCCAAACAGGGGATTCTGTGAAGTGAAATGGCTCAGCAATGCTGAGGAGTCAAGCAAAATACTGAAAGAGTGTCTGTTTGAATATTAGGCAAGACCAAAGTGGGAGTGCCTTTGTAGAGCAAAATGTATTCCAGGGCAGATTTTGGGATTAAAATTAAGTTTTCAAGAGAAAAGAATGAGAAGAAAACTTATAAATGACTGGATAATTAGTGTAAATATTTCTGAACAATGGGGTATATTTGGGTTTCTGTTCATTTGTAAGCACAAGGTCTATCAACCACCATCACTCCTATCAATGAAGAGATTATGCAGATTCCAATCTTGATTGATCTATCCTGGCCATGTGCTGTTGAGTTTCCTCATACTGAGCCTCCCAGATCCCCTGATATAGTCGTAGATGTCCTTATACGGCATGACTAGTTTCCTGCCCTGGGGACACCTTGTCGGCTTCATGCCTAAAACATCCCTTTTGATATCAACTTGATATTGAAAAAGAGTTCAGGGGGTAGACTTTGAAGTAACTGCATCCCCAGCAGATGGTCTTCCAAGAAGGGACTGAGGTGGACAAAAAGTTCATTCAGAATTACTGTATTTTTCTCATTGCTTTGCAATAAATTGGTGAGGGTTTATTTCTCCCATTTGTTGAACAACAGCA